CTACTATTCTTTAATCATTAGGAATTTATTTTATAGTAATTTTATAAAATGGTGTATAAGACTGTCTTAGTTATTAAAATGTATAAGAGTTTTGTCTAAATCATTATTACCTAAACAAATTATAAATTAAGGTTAATTAACAAAAATAAGATTTATTATTTATTTTTAATGAACTTTTTTAAAATTTTAATGATTCCTAAACCAATGGCCAATATTAGTAATGGCATTATCAAAAAGCATCTAATCAATTAATGTAAATATTACTTTTTATCTTTAGTTTATCCAAATAACTTTTTTATTGAACTCCTTCAACTTCTCTCAATTCTTATAGTATTTCTATCTTAATTAATTAGTATAAATGTATATACTCCAAATGAAATTTTTCTAAAAAATAATATAGAATTGATTCTAAAATTCACAGATTTTAAAATCTTATTCATAATCTAAAAATTTTAATCAATTTATTAACAATGAATTATTTGCAATATTGATAGCAAAATATCTTTCAATGAAAATTTTAATACTATTTGTATGCATATTATTAAATAAATAAAAATATAATTGTGTTATATGTAAGATTTTTATTTAAATAAAGAAATTATAAAATATGATTAATATTATTGTAAACATGATAGAATATCTATTCGGTGAAATACCTAACAAAATTGATATATTCAATTATTTATATATTAATTTCTATTTTTCTATCGGATAGTAAAAGATAGTTGATGTATACATAAAAAAAAAGAATTAGCTGTTTAAATATGGTTTACATTTCTGTTTGATTTCTAAAAAAATCATAACAAAAGTTTTGAATATAAATTGGAATGATTTTATTTCTTTCAACAGCTTCATAAATATATATAATTTTTAATTACTAAATTTTTATTAAAAACAAACAAATGAAAACTTCAATAACACTAATTAAAAAATGAAAATATATTATTGGCAACAATAAAAAAAAAATGAGACGAAGATTTGTTTTTATCTAATAAATGAATATTATTCAATAATCATAATTGATTTCACTGCGTTTCTCATTCTTCCTGATATCTAATTCAACCCAAATACCTACTTTTTTACCATTTTTATATTCTCCACAAAAAGTATACTACCAATCATCATCAAAAAGATCATATAATTCAACCCATTACCCAATCTTCATACCATCTTCATCATATTATCCACCGCCACTAACATATTGATGAAAAGGTTTTAAATATATTTTTACATCTATTAATATGGTGTATATTTATTTCTTTTATATTAAATATCCCATCTACCAAATTTTTTCTCATATTTATATTCACCATCCCAAATTACTTAAGTATTCCATTTAAATCCATCATATAATTCAATCCATCTACCTATTTTCATGCCATCACCTCTATCATCATATGATCCACCACCACTAAAATATTGATTTTATCGCACTATGAATAATATTAATTACATCTATGAAAATGGATCGCTGCTGTAATACCTCCATAAAATATCCCATCTACCAATCTTTTTATCATTTTTATATTCACCAATAAAAGTTACTTATTTATCCTTATAAAATCGATTATCCAATTCAATCCATTTCCCAATTTTCATCCCAGCACCAAATTCATCATATGACCCACCTCCACTACAATATTGATAAATATTTTTACATCTTTTCACTAACCAATTCATCATCATTATCCCTATACCAAATATCCCATCTACTAACTTTTTTACCATTTTGATAATCACCGTTATTTATTACTTATGATTAATTCCTAAACTCATCACTAATTTCAATCCAACTTCCTATTTTCATTCCATTACCTTCTTCATCATACTGTCCACCACCACTAAAAATTATTAATACATAATATTCAATAGATTACATTTATGAAAATGGATTATCGTCGCTACTCCTATACAAAATCTTCCAAATACCAACTTTTTGGCCAAATTTATATTCACCATTAAATGCTACTTATGAGCCATCCATAAATCCATCACTTATTTCAATCCAATTTCCAATTTTCAAACCCAAGCCTTCCTCATCATAGTATCCACCTCCACTAAAAGCAACATTTATATATTTTTTACATTTATATAAATGGGTTATATTCAAAATTCCTAAATAATATATCCCATCTACCAAGTCTTTTTCCATTTTTATATTGACCATTAAATGTTACTTATGAACCATCCATAAATAATTCATTTGTTTCAATCCAATCTCCAATTTTCAAACCCTAACCTTCCTCATCATATTACCCACCTCCACTAAAAGAACAATTATATTCTATGTACATAAAAATAAATGGACAATCTTCATCCCTCCTAAATAGTATATCCCATCTACCAACTTTATTGCCATTTTTGTAATCACCACTAAATATTACTTATGAACCTTGATTAAATCCTCCATTTATTTCAATCCATTTTCCAATTTTAATGCCATTACCTTCTTCATCATATGATCCTCCACCACTAACAATGTTATATTTGATAATTTACATTAATTTTTCTTTGTATATAATATCCCATTTACCAACTTTTTTACTATTTTTCGATTCTCCAACTTATAAGACTATCTAATCATTCTGTTGATTCATATTAAATAAAATATCAATTTTTGGTTTATTTTTTTTAGTTAATAATTAAGAGTTGAAACTAGTATCTTTTATTTTTTATTAACTAACACGACGATAGTTTAGAATTACTAATATACCACTTAATTTCAACTACTGATGCCTCAAATAATGAAAATATGGAATAAATATAACTTTCATATTTATGTGAATTAATTAAATTTAAAATTAATTCAAATACTATTGTATTGAGATTAATCTTTTTCTTTATAAATAAAAAATTGTAATATTGGATTTGATTATCCTATTTAATTGAATATTTATGATTCTTAATTAATATTGATTTTTAATACTTTTTTGGATTAGGAGTTTATTATTGATGATTAAAATTAGTTATATCATTTTCTAAATTTTAATCTAATCATAAAGTTTGCTAATTATATTGTATTCATTTGTGTGAAATCTTTTGATTATAAAATTAATTTTTCTTGACATGAAAATATCTTGATTTTTAATATAAATTAATTGAAAGCAATTTTATAAAGGAATTATTTAATTTTTCAGAAGAAGCATCTATTGTATTCAGTCAAACTTCGACGACAAAAAAATAGAGATGTCTAAAAAAAGAAAGAATTACATCCTTTGGAAGTCGATTTTTGTGTGAGTTTTGAATAAAAAAAATTATAAGATTAGGTTCATTCACCATTCTTAAGTTTTAGTTATTACTGATTGATAATGCATTAATATTTAGACTTTTTTATATTATTCAATACATTTATTGCATTATTATTATTCATCACAGGAAAAATATTAGATGAGTATTATCAGCTAATAGAGATCCAAAAATTAAATTATAACTTCAATAATTAGATAATGGTTGAATGAAATTTTTTTATTTTCCATTTTATTAAGAATCACATGTGATGTTATTAATATGTGATTTTTTTATTTTAATCAATACATATAAGAATGTTATTAATAATTTAAATTACTCAAAAATGCTTATAATTAAATTTAAGAATATTGAATGGATAACTTCATATATTTAAAAAAAAAAATTAAGTCAAGTATAAAAAAGTTATTGGAATTATATTATTTAAAGACATGATTATCTATAAATTTAATTTTTTTAGTTTAACAAGCATAAGCTATTAGAATAATAATTATAACAATGATAATTTCTTTCAAATTCTATATACAGCAGGTTAATAATACAAAATAAATTGAAAATACAAATAATGAATTCCTAAGTTTAGAATCAGCATTTTGACAATTAATTTAAGCCTCTGAAGGTAAAGATGAATGAATAATAATTTGTTATAAATTTTTGATAAATATAATTGTTAAATCCTTATTGCATCATCAATTTCCCATATATTATTAATAATTTTTGTATGTCCAACAGCATACTTAGAATCAACATTATTCTAATGAACTGTTTATGTAAAGACATATTAAATTATATCAGTAACTTGGAGTTGTAATTAAGGATAATTTGAGGATAATGGTTAATGTGTAGATTGTATATCTAATTGTATAAGTTGTACAGATGATTCAAAATGTGATTAATGTAAGCCAGGTTTTTATGTTATTCCTGTGATTGAAATATGTGATACTTGTTAAAATGGATGCGAAATTTGTAGTCTGGTGTATTGTTCATCATGTATTCCTACGTTTTCATAAAAATCTTGTTCAACTTGTTTTCCTAAGTTTTACAAATAAGGTGTGAATTGCTCAAATTGCCCTACTTAGTGTGCTACATGCACATCTAACACCGTATGCTAAACTTGTGAGGATCACTATTTTATTATTGGAACTATGTGCTCAGTTTGTGATGCTATTTGTAAGACATGTTTAGGTTCCAGTAGTACTTGTACATCATGTGATATTGGTAAATACCTTTCAAATTCATAATGTCTTCCTTGCATATCACCTTGTTCAACTTGTATCAACAATTCAAATGATTGTATTTCATGCATCGACAGTCATTAAATAGCAGTCAATTTTTAATGTGTTTGCAATGATGGATATTATACTGATGGATTAAATTAATGTTAGCTTTGTACAGTACCATGTTCAAAATGTGAAAATAATGCTGATGATTGTATTGAATGCATATTAACTTTTACTTTAAGTTAGAATATACAATACAGATGTGAATGTCCATTTGGCTATTATTAGTTTGATTCTCAAACATGTTTGCCATGTACAAGTCCATGTTAAACATGTGAGTAGAATTAGAATCACTGTTTATCTTGTGTTGATATAAATTAAATAATAACTAATACAAATTTATGTGTATGCAATGAAGGTTGGATTTTAGATACAAATAGTATTACATGCTTAAAATGTTAATTGCCATGTTTCGATTGTATAGATAATATATAAAAATGTATCACTTGTTAAGATTAACTACATTAATAACCTGACTCTTGTGAATGTGATTCTGGATGGATATTTGATGATAATTACTTCTGCATGCCTTGTATAGAACCATGCACAACTTGTGAGATATCTACCACTAAATGTTTGACATGTATTGATCCTCATCATATACTTAATGACATATCATAATGTGTTTGCTAATCAACTTATTATTCAAATACTCTAATCACATGTGCAAAGTGTTAAGAACCTTGTTTTGAATGTGATTCAAATGGATGTATCAACTGCATAGATATGAATCAAATCTTAGATTCCAATAAATAGTGTGTTTGTAAACCTGGATATCTCTAATAAGGTATTGTATGTCTTAAATGTTAAAATCCATGTTCTACTTGCATAAATACTATTAATGAATGTCTAACATGTTTTGATCTTAATTAAATTGTCAAAGATTATTAATGCCTATGTAAAGAAGGATTTGTGAAAGAAGGAGACTTTTGTTGTGATTAATATTGTATAGATTGTTAAGGAGTAGACAATTGTAATAATTGTATGAAGGGATTTTATTTAACATCAATAAGTAGATGTTTAAAATGTATTGATAATTGCGATGTTTGTTAAAATCAAATTAATTGTGAAATCTGTTAAGAGGGATACTTTCTAAATGAATTTAGATTTTGTGAAAAATGTCTTCCTCATTGTAAGATATGTGGAAATTAATTTAATTGTGATATATGTTTAGATGGCTATTTTCAACTAGAGTAGTAATGTGAGCAATGCAATCAAAATTGTTTAACTTGTAATGAAGTGTCTGAAAAATGTCTTACTTGTAGAAATAATTATGAAATTAATCCTAATTATTAATGTATCTGTAAAGTTGGATATTATGAATAATAGAATCAATGTTATAGATGTGAATACCCATGTAAAAAATGTTTAAATTAAACAATATGTTTAGAATGTGTTATGCTATCTAATTTATACTTAGATTTGAATTTTAAATGTAATTGTAGTCCAGGTTACTTCTGGAATCAAAACAATTGTTCTTAATGTTATTAATACTGTTTAAATTGCATTGAAAATTAATTTAATTGTATAAGTTGTGATTAAAAACTAAATAGAATTTTAAGGAATAACAAATGTGTATGCATTTAAAATTATTTTGAAACAGAAGATGGAGTTTGTATATCATGTTTGAATTAATTGGGAAAATCTTAAGAAAGTTGTAAATATTAAGATTGTAAAGATTAAATTTGGACTTTTGGTGAAGAATGTGATGATGGAAATTATGTAAATAGAGATGGTTGTTCTAATTGTAAGATTGATCATAACTACTCTTGTTCTAATGAAATACTAAATAAATCAATCTGTTTTCAATGTTCTACTAATTGCATTAAATGTTAAATGAATCCTTAAACAAAAAAATCTTTATGTATCAAATGCAAAGTTGGTTATTTTTTAGATAAAAATGATTGTGTTGAATGTTCAATTAATTGTTTGGAATGCATTGATTAAGCTTATAATTGTATAAGTTGTAAGTTTCCACAATACAAGAATCATAAATGTTAAATTTGTGAATCAGGATATTATGAAGATGAGATAAATGGAATTTGTTTAAATAAATGTGGAGACTATATAAAAGTAAAGGAGGAAGAATGTGATGATGGAAATCTTATTAAAGGTGATGGGTGTGATGATTAATGTAAGTTAGAAAATAAGTATATATTTTTAAATGGAGTAAGTATCATACCAACTTATCCTAAACCAATATTAAAGAGTTTAGGCACTTCTTAAATTTACTCTGTTATTAGATTATTTAAATTATCTTACACCACTCAAATAGTTATTACTGATGGTTTTCAAATTAAAAATTATCTTTCTTTTCATATCTAGAACTAAGGTAATGCTTAAAAAATGGATCAGTCCATTCAACTCAATTAAGAAACTTCGCATATTAATGAATTTAATTAATCTGAGTTAATTTTAATGATAAATATCACTTTCTCAAGAAATTCAATAGATGAAATCCTATTGATCAAATTCTTAAACAATTCAGTCATTTATTCAAATGAAGGATACTCCTAAATTGAAACTGAAGTCTCTTGCCTTATACCAAAAGTGATATACATAGATGATGTCACAATTACTCAAGTGTAATTAGCAACCAAAAGCAACACCTATGTACTCTATTTTATTGGAGCAATGTGTGGTGGATCAGTGTTATTTGGAGGAGTTGAAGTATTTTTTAATTTATTGGATACTCTCTAAATGCTATCTTATTTTAAATACATTAATACACAACTTCCATATAATTTATAAACATACTTTGAACTATTTGGATTTGCTTAATTTAACTTTATCTAAAAGATTTTTGATTTTTCAGGATTTATTGATTAGATATTGAATACTTAACAATTAAAGAAGATACCTACGAAAGTAGCTAGTGACGAGATAACATCGCTATTTATTATTAATTCTGCAACAATTACTACAGTTTGGATCTCTCTATTTTGTATCTATGGAATTTCAAAGGTGATACCTAAAATTTTATATACTTTCAAGTTTAAATTTTATTCTGAGTCTTAATCAGAAAATTCTTGGCTTGTCAAAGTTGGAGTATACTATTTAACTATAAAGTATGTCATAAATAGATTGTGCTTTACTATTATTTCAGAATTCTTCTATAGTGGAATCTTACGTGCTTATATGGCCACTGCTTATGATTTTACTTTTAGTTTAGTACTTTAATTGTATGCCTTAGAACTTAATTCATCTAATATTTTTATAAGATTCAGTTCATTATTAGCATGTGTAGCAAGTGCAATATATGTTTTTAGCATATATTTTGTAATCAAACTATCTTAAATGAAGAAATATGCTTTGAATAATAGAGCCATCAAAAATAAATATGGATCTATTTTTGATGGAATTAAAATTAATGAATTTTCCAAATATCTTAATGCTATTCTTCTAATTAAAAAACTTATCTTTATGTTTTTATTAATTTTTGCTTATGAGTTTCCAATTTTTCAAACAGTCAGCATTACACTTCTATCAATCTCGATTAGTCTATTTTACATCTTATTTAATCCATTAGAAGATAAATTGGAGTATTTTAAATAGTTATTTAGTGAAGTTAGTATCTCTTTTACACTATTGAGTATTACAATATTGACTTGTGATTTTTAATTATTATATTTTTCATATGAGATTAGACAATTAATTGGATGGTGTTGCATTTTTTTTATGACATCTATATTATGTATTCAATTAGGGATTGATGGTTTTTAATAATGGAAGTTTCTTTTTAAGAAGTATAAAAAAATTAAAAGACTAGCTTAATCAATAATTGGAGTATTTTCTAAAAATAAATAAGTTAATGGTCCATCAAGTATTTTCTATTGATAAATAAGACTTCAAACATTCTGAAATATTAAATTAATATTATCAATAATTCATTACAATAAGTTATTCTATTTTTAAATTAATTAAAATCCTGATCACTTTTCAAATCTGATATTTATGTAAATTGCATTTTTTAGCATTTATGCCAGAATTCTCTAGCAATCAGCTTTAAACTATTTTTTAATAAATTAGTTATTAATCCATTTATATATAGGACAAAGATAAAAATCAAATTAATGATAAATCTAATCAGGATATTCTTAACTTTATTTATTTATTGATGTAAAAATTTGCTATTTACCTGTTATTAATTCAATTTTTAATTACTTAATTTTTGTCTACTCATTTGAAAAGCTTAGACAACATTACTTTTAAACTAACTAATAAAAATTAGAATAATATTGTTGTTGTGAAAACTATATTTTTAGCTGTTAAATTTAAAACATTCTTAATTTCAAATATCATAATTTAAACATAAATTACAATCCTCTTTCTTTTTATATTCTTGATTAAATTTGCTCCCCTTTTAAATCTAAATTTCTCTTTCTAATATTTACAGAGAGAGATTTATATTTATGTTCCAATAGTACATTTTAATATGTTTTATGCTAATTTGGCTTTCAATTTGTTTCTAAACTTGTCTAAAGAAATTATGAAAATTTATGATAGATGTTTGTTAAAGAATAAAGGAGAAGATTATTATATAAATTAATTTTAGATAAAATAATATAAAAATTTTCTTTAAGAAAAGCTTTTATGTTATTTATAAATATCATCAAATATGAATTTTCATATCCATTATTATTTTTTCAAATTCTCCCTCCATTTTATAAACGAGTGAGCTTGAAATTTAATTATTTCTCTTCTAAATTAATTATAACTTTCATTTACACAAGTAACTTAATCAAAGATCCTTTGAAAAATAATTTTTTATTAAAATTTTTGGAATCAGAATACAAAATTCATTTTTCCTAAATGTTTCTAAAATCAATTTGAATAAAAATCAAAAGTTTATGGTGATTTTATATGTACATAAAAACCTAATTTTTATTAACAATAGATATTGAGATTTAAAATTATAAACTCTTTCCTATTTTCTACATATCACATAGATTGATTGTACTCCAAATTAAATTGTTAATATATAGTATAATTGGGCTCATTATAAAGATTCAAATGGAAGCAAAGAAATTTTATTCCATTAAATAAATTAACTAAAAATCCTATTTACAGTCGATAATTATCAAATAAATAAGTTAATACAGGAAAATTTCAGCCTGTCTATTATTAAGAGTTTAAATTAATACAGAAGGAAATATCGATATAAATTCGAGTTATTTGAATTAATACAATGGCCTTTAATAATTAAAATTTCATTTCAAGGAGAGCAATTCTTTGAAATATAGAATTTAATCAAATTAATATGTATAATATAAATTGGGTTAAATATAGCAATTCCAATTCGATTGCTAATGGATTGATGCCATCTATATACTTCATTTTTTTAGATTCAACTTTATTACTACTTTATCTAGTGCTTAATTATAAGCAATTTGATTTATATTCTAAAGTAAATGCATTATAATAAAAATTAATGAAATTTAAAATCGATTCTCGACAATGCTTATGTTAATATATATGTTTGAAAGAAAAAAATAATTTATTTAATACAAAAAATATCAAAATTTATAATAAAATTATAAAATTAATGTGTCTTATAGCCCTTTTCATATAATAAAAGCTTCATTTAATCAAAAAATCATATTTATATTAGATCCAAAATTATTGCTTCCACTTTTTACATCAGAAAAGGCTTTAAAAATATTGCTCCAAAATTCAAGTTCACCCCACAAATTTATCAAACTTGATGTAATTATATGGCATTCTATTCTTTATTTCAAGGAAATAAGTATTCACAAAATAAAGGTATAAGTATTTGTATATATTAACTTTTTACCCAAGATAATTGTATTACATTAAGATTAGGGAATTGTTTCAATCATTCTTTTCCATAATCTCCAATAACTAGACATAAATTGAAATATCTTATCATATAGAATTATATTAAATATCTATATTCTTATTCTTGAAAATAAAAATTTATTATTCTGGCTTTATGGATATCTTGATTTTCATTAAAATTTCCTTCCATTCCACTACATAATTCCTCCTTATTGCCAATTACTAAGTAACCCTATGAAATTTTTACATAATGACTTATTGAATGCTGACTCTATATAATTTAGTTTTCACAAAAGCAATCGAATCATACTTATTTAATAGATGTGAACAAATAATTAGAGAGTATTGTATATTAGTAAACTAAAATCAAATTGTATTTATGAACTACTCAATAATCATTTAAATGTTAGAAAAAATATATATATTCAACAAAGTAATATCAACAAATACAATATCATTTATTATTGTTACCCCAAAGGGTGCCTATTTTATCAGAAAAACAAAAACATTCAGCTTCTAGGAAGCATGATGAAAAATTGAATTTTTATAATTATTTTAATTAGAAAATAAATGTTTTAATAATTGCAGATTCAATACTTAATAAAAAAGTAGAATTTAGAGGACTACAAAAGATAATGAAAAATTGAGTTTACATTAACAAATTCAATATTTTGTGATATAAACTTTTTTGTTAGTGTGTTTGGATTTTGAATTTAAACAGCTGGATTAATCTAATTACTAAGAATAAATTTTTCATTCTCTAATTTTGTGTAGAATTCTTTGCAAATGAAATTTTTAAGTTAAAATTTAAAGAGAAATACTTGATTTTGTTTTATATATGGGATTAGAAACATGCAATTTTATTAATAATATCTCATATCAATCTTTTGTAGATGGATATCTTTCTTACATGTAAGTTTAGATATTATAGAAATTATCAAATATTATTTTATCATCTTATTCATATTCTATTATTTTATGANAAAGAAAAAAATAATTTATTTAATACAAAAAATATCAAAATTTATAATAAAATTATAAAATTAATGTGTCTTATAGCCCTTTTCATATAATAAAAGCTTCATTTAATCAAAAAATCATATTTATATTAGATCCAAAATTATTGCTTCCACTTTTTACATCAGAAAAGGCTTTAAAAATATTGCTCCAAAATTCAAGTTCACCCCACAAATTTATCAAACTTGATGTAATTATATGGCATTCTATTCTTTATTTCAAGGAAATAAGTATTCACAAAATAAAGGTATAAGTATTTGTATATATTAACTTTTTACCCAAGATAATTGTATTACATTAAGATTAGGGAATTGTTTCAATCATTCTTTTCCATAATCTCCAATAACTAGACATAAATTGAAATATCTTATCATATAGAATTATATTAAATATCTATATTCTTATTCTTGAAAATAAAAATTTATTATTCTGGCTTTATGGATATCTTGATTTTCATTAAAATTTCCTTCCATTCCACTACATAATTCCTCCTTATTGCCAATTACTAAGTAACCCTATGAAATTTTTACATAATGACTTATTGAATGCTGACTCTATATAATTTAGTTTTCACAAAAGCAATCGAATCATACTTATTTAATAGATGTGAACAAATAATTAGAGAGTATTGTATATTAGTAAACTAAAATCAAATTGTATTTATGAACTACTCAATAATCATTTAAATGTTAGAAAAAATATATATATTCAACAAAGTAATATCAACAAATACAATATCATTTATTATTGTTACCCCAAAGGGTGCCTATTTTATCAGAAAAACAAAAACATTCAGCTTCTAGGAAGCATGATGAAAAATTGAATTTTTATAATTATTTTAATTAGAAAATAAATGTTTTAATAATTGCAGATTCAATACTTAATAAAAAAGTAGAATTTAGAGGACTACAAAAGATAATGAAAAATTGAGTTTACATTAACAAATTCAATATTTTGTGATATAAACTTTTTTGTTAGTGTGTTTGGATTTTGAATTTAAACAGCTGGATTAATCTAATTACTAAGAATAAATTTTTCATTCTCTAATTTTGTGTAGAATTCTTTGCAAATGAAATTTTTAAGTTAAAATTTAAAGAGAAATACTTGATTTTGTTTTATATATGGGATTAGAAACATGCAATTTTATTAATAATATCTCATATCAATCTTTTGTAGATGGATATCTTTCTTACATGTAAGTTTAGATATTATAGAAATTATCAAATATTATTTTATCATCTTATTCATATTCTATTATTTTATGATTAAGTTGATGAAAACTCTTTGTCAAAAATTTTGATGATGATATTAATTAATTGTTTTCATCATTTTATTTAATTCTAACAAAAAAATATAAAGTTTCTATCCTTTTATATATATTAAGAGCACCCATAAAATATTTCGCAATTATTATAAAAAAATTATCATCTTAGGCTTTTAGTTTAACAGGAATAATTATTTTACTCTAAACTATAAATTATTTTTAAATTCACATTGATAAATAGATTGAGAAACTCTTTAGTTTTAAAATAATAATAATATATATATATATAAAAACTAATTATTAAAATTAAATTAGAAGAAATCTTTTTTCCATTCTAGACCAATATTTAGTAGGAATATTTTCTTCAGAGTTTTATTATTAGGATTAAAATCAATAATGATCAATTATTTTCTATCCTTTTTTGAAGGTATCTCATAGACCCAATTTAAGACATAAATCAACTCAATAAATTCTTTTAATTCAATTCACTTTTAAGAGATTTCTTATTTGAATAACTTTATTTTATATTAGTTCTTCTAAATATAACAGAATAAGAGGATTATAATAAAAAAAGTCAAGATCTAATTCTTTAAGAAAGATTTTTGATTATCATAGGGCCTATTTCTTTATAATTTTTTAATTAATTTATTTTAATTACAATTTTTGTTTATTCTTAATTATTTCTGCTTAGAAATCCATCAAACTTTGATAAACATTTTGTTTGATTTCACCATTTTCTTTTAGTTATTCAATATCAAATAATATTTCATATTCTTTTACTATCATACTCATCCTTTGCACTTATAATTAGTATAGGGGAATTCTAGAGACAAAAAACTCAATCTCATTTTTTTATCAACTTTTTGATTGTTTAGTTTAGCAGAATTAATTCTTGATAACAAATAATATATCAAATTAAATATATTTTTTTATGTCCTTGAACTTAAAATAAAAGAGCAAAAATCAGGATAGATTGATATTCCATTTTAAGATTGCATAAAAAAAGATATTTGTAATCTAATCAAACATTTTTTTCTTATTTATTTTTTATAAAAGTAATTTCTTTTGGAAAGCCTATGAGTATTTTATAATATTTATAAGATTTAAAATAGGAAGGCAAAATGTACTTATAATCATTTTTATCTGGAGTATAAAATTCAGTAAGGGGAAAATCATGAAAGGATCAATAATATTAATGATTTCTCTTGAATGTAAAATATGTATTGATCTGAAATTCTTATAAAATAAAATATGATTTATTTGAGTATGCTTTTTTATGTAAGGTAACTGTATTTCTAATAAAATATGTTTTCTATTGAGAGATACTTTCAATTATTTTAGAAAAAAGTATCCTTGCATAATTAAGGCCATCTAATGCATGAGTTAAACTTTGATTCAAGCATCCAAAAATGCAATATATTTCACACCGTAGTAATTGATTCATTAAGTTTTCCTGTTTACATTCTATTTCGTATTCGAATTTCTAATATTAAGAATTATTTCTTAAATAATAATATATTTTTGATAAAAATTTTTTCATAAAATTCTACATTTTTTCAATCCAAAACATCAGCAACAAAACCAAACTAAATTTAGTAAAATTATTATGCATTTTATTTAACCATATTTTTATTGGATTCTAAATGTAAATTGTTTCATATTATATAGATTTTCTATATTAAGTTGAAATAACTATATCAATTTATTTTTGTTTCAATTCTAATATTTATATATCTTGATATTAAAGAATATCAAATAACCTGAATTGTTTGGATAGGGAGTATTATTTGTCTATGCAAGGAGAGAATCCCATAAAAGAATTATAATTGCGAACTAAAATTAATGATTTTAATCTTTATTTGCACTAACGAAATAAAATATTCATATTTATAATAAGAATTAAAAATTGCAATTTCAATAAATATTTAGCTTATAATACATTAATAAACAAATTGAGACAACAAGTATTTCAGTGATTTATTTCAAATTCTTAAGTAATAATAAAATTATTCTATCTATGAACATATTAATTCAATTTTTAATTATATGCTTATTTTTTGTAAGTAAAATTATAATAATAATAATAATGTGTAATATATTTCAAACTGGAATTAGGAATATTATTGGTTTAAGGTTTGTATTTTTCACAGTTTGTTTTACAATATTGTTAATAACTAAAGCAATATCTTTCATTTATTGCATTCTATGTTTTCTTTATTAGTGAACCTGATATATTGTTAGTGTATTCAATTATGTTCCTGATTCTTTTGAAGTAATCAGAATGTAGAGTTTCAAGATGTTCCATGATATGTTCCAGAGTCATAAATTTACCATGAGTTTGTCAAGTCTTCCATTGATGTTTCCATAAGGAAAAGTAAGAATAGCTTGGTATTCTTCTTATCATTTGATAGCAAGTCTTTCTTAGGATGGGTTCATTTCTCTTTTCTTCTTAGTCAATTTGTTCAACTTTCTTCTATACA